TTTAATATGTATGCAGCTTGGATGAGGGCTTTAGGAAGAGATCCTAAGACTGAACACTGACTGCTATAAATGCCGTTTTTAGAGCACATTTCATAGTAAGTGATTTCATTCTAGCAGCAATGAGGAAACGTTTAAAAAACATGCTGTACCAGCTATTACTTTAAGACCTCGTCTCTTTAAGTTTTTATTACTTCATTGTAATGCATATATTAAAATGGTTTTTAACTTATGTCCTTATGATTAAAAGATGTAGGTATTTTAGTTATGTTATAATAGAAATATATGATACTTTGTATTGACTGACCTACTGGTCATTCCACTTTTACTCCCTTTTTTCATAAATTATCAAATTATTTAAAAACAAATACATACCTAGCTATTTTCTGTAAATTACATTAAAATTTTAGTATTAATACTTTACTAATAAAAATTAATTTAAATAAAAGTTAATTTATCTTATATATATATATATATATATATATATATATATATATATATATATATATATATATATATATATATATATATATATATATATATATATATATATATATATATACACAACGGAAGAGTTAATTGGATTTTCTCCTTGTTGAGTTTCAAAAATAGTAATTTAACATGATTTAAAAACATGAAATGGGCAAAATAGGCCTGCAAAGTCGATGTGACGTAATGCGCGAATTCAATCTGGCTTACTTTTGTTAATAGATTGGCGTTCCATTTTAAATATACAGTTCACCGGGAATAGATTATTTAAATATATACGGACCGGGAAAACAAGTACGAAAAAATTCACTGGCTCCTGGACTAGTACTTCATCGAAGGAATTTTTATGAATGAAACAATATACGACCCTCCACAATTGCGGTCTACTCTACTTCCGCTGTTGTCAGACATTTTTTTTTTGACAATTTAAAGACCTAACAGTAATTCAAGCAAGCGCAATAACATTACTACAGTTAAAAACATCGCAAACTTGGCATCAATATTTTAATTTTATCCAAATAATGCATTTCTGTCGAGGATCATCCGCGTTGACTTCAGAAATTGTGTAATCTGTATTGGTTATATATATCTATAGTTAAAAGCACGTAAACTTGGCATCAATGTTCAATCCGATTATTGAGTTTCTACAGCGGACACCACCGTTCATTCTTCAAAAATTTTGTAAATAATCCTATCTGTCTTGGTTTTATATCTATGGTTACACTTCATTCGCCCAGGTTTCGTCCAAATAAAATATTTTTTTGTCATCTGCACGTAATTTAAAAATGGTTCTGAGGTATCTGCGCCTCCAACAAACAATTTTATCAAAATCAATAAGTGCTGCTTTCCTATCCTGTTTATCCCACTTGAACTTCAAATCTATTAGAGTTTCCCATAGTTTTGTCTTTCCCATTTTAGGAAAATGCGGATCACTATTGATTGCATCCAAAACTTGGCAAGTGTTGGTACCTCTTTTTTTAAATAAAATTCGCGAACGTTTCTTCTTATTTCGCTTTTAATTTGTTCAGTAAATTCCATTTTTTCCTTACCGCCTGAATTTTTCTTTGGGGGTTCAACAACTCCACTTTTTAATTCACTTATAACTTTATATATCGTTAATTGCTTACACCCATCATATTACTCAAGTATCGTCAACAGAAAACGAAGGTAATTATAAACATTGCTTATAAATATTTTCTCGTTAACTGACAATGCACATTATTTTATACACTTCACAGGTGTAAACTTTAAACATGAACCACACTGCATTTTTCAATACTACTGTCACTATTAACCGAAAATAACTACAACTTCTTACTGTAATAGATAATATAGAAGACAAACCAAACAGGGTAGGTAATATTGGGAACTGATTAAGATACTGCCTATATTATCTTTATACCAAATCATAGGTAGGTAACCATCTTATAATCCCACCTCTTTATTATCATTTCAGTTTTTCCATGGCATAAGTAATCTCCAAGAAGATGATAAAATAACGATTAACCCTTAGATTATAGATTTCTATAATCTAAGGATTTATCCCAGTTACATTTTTAATACAATTATAGTCACATTTATAAATTTTGAACCCTCAGATTACTTTCTATAATTTTAGCTGAAACCTTTCTCTCCACTTGTCATTAACTTTCACCTTGACATCAAAAATTTCTAAGAAGTCAATGATGAATAGCGATTTAAACAATTTAATGTAGGTAACTAGGTATATCTCGGCGGGTCCTTTTTGCCCACAAATCTCTGTTTTCTACCTGTGTAAGTAAAGGGGTGCGTTAATCTTACTGGTATTTTGCCCACAGTAGCATTCAGGTACCTAAACCCGCAAATTACATCCGCCCACAAATAGGTACCTACCTGATTATTAATAATTCTAATAGGTACTTACTTTGGGTGTTTACTGTTTATATTTCAGTCAGTTTTTATACGTTGATGATTGTAATTCGAGTGTTTATAAACAATAATTATTTCTATAATGTCAGCTTCATTGATTAAAAGCACACGCGGGAAAGATGTACTCCTTTTGGAGAATTTTACGTTTGCCAAAGATAGAGAAATGAAAAGTGGAGAAGTTTCTTGGAGATGCTCCCAAAGAAAAACAAATGCTTGTAATGCCACTGTATTTACAATTGGTCCTGAACTTTTAGTATCCAGAGGCAACCTAATTCATAGCCATGAAGCAAATGAACCGAAATTAAACAGGAAAATTATTTCTAATTCGTGTAAGCGAAAAGCAGTTGATGATATTTCGGAAAAACCTTCTAAAATTATCCGTAAAGTACTTGCTACTAATTTACCAGAGTCACTAACTACAATTGATGTGTCCTACATAAGAAAAACTATATACAACAGTCGTCGCAAAATACTACCAGGTCCATTACCTACAAATATACAAGAAGTGCATGATGCAGTTGACTTATATTCTAATACATTTAAAACCAGTAAAGGTGAACATTTTCTTTTAATAAATAGCAGAGAAAATAATATTATTGTATTTACATGTGAGAGAAATATTCGTACTTTGTGTAAAATGAACGTCTTGTATATGGATGGGACATTTTCGTATTGTACAAAGTTTTTCCTACAATTATTTACCATTCATGGGCTGTGTAATGGACACTATGTGCCCCTGGTATATTGTTTATTACCAAACAAATCTACCGATATATACAAACATTTGTTTTCGTTATTGCATTATAAAATTTTGGAAACTTACAGTATTGCTTTAAATCCATCTAAAGTGTTCGTTGATTTTGAAATAGCAATTCATAAGGCGTTAATTTATATGTGGCCTAATACTGTAATCAATGGCTGCCGATTTCATCTACATCAAGCGTGGTATCGTAAAATTCAGTCTCTGGGATTAATGACTGAATATACAACTAACAGTGATACCGGAAAATGGCTTAAAACATCATTTGGGTTGACATATTTAAACGCCGATGAAGTTGGAGACTGTTTTGTGTTTGACTTAATGGCAAGTAAACCAGAAAATGCCGTTCTCGATAGGTATGCCGATTACCTATTAGAAACATATATTGAAGAAAATTCTACATTTCCTCCAAGTATATGGGCAGAAAAAACAGCTTCAATTACAAGAACTACAAATGCCTGTGAGTCGTTTCATTCAAGGTTTAATTCTTCATTCTACTGTACACATCCTTCTGTATATATTTTTATAGAAAAGCTTAAAGACTTTCAAATCGACACGTATGTCACAATACAAAGCTTAAGTATACCTAAGAAAATCAAAGACAAAAGTGTAAAACAAAAAATTCAGTGTTTAGGAAAATTTATACAGCGATTTGATCTGCAGCAAATCAGCAGATTAGAGTATATAAAATTTGTATCACATTTATCCCTCCCAGTTGAAAAATATGTAAATAAAATATAAATATATAAAAAATATAATATAACTTATGTATACTTACTTTTTTATAATAATAAAAATTAGTGTTTAATATAATTTTTAGTTTAATTAATAATGTGTTTTTACTTTTCGATAATATATAAAAAATAATAAATGAAAGATATATCTATTATGATTTATTCAGTTAGAAATAAATTTGGGCAAAATACCAACAGGATTAAGATGACCTTTTACTTGCTGTGGGCAAATTACCTATAGGATTAGCAGCTTTAAATATTTTGTGGGCAAATTACCTCCGCCCGTATATCTAATAGTCAAATGTATATATGTCTTGAAAAATATTTGTTATATACTTTGTTGTTAATTTACTCAAACCGATAACTCTACCATTTACATAACAATTGCAAATAACTCAAAAAACATTTTGAAAAGTACCTACATACCGAAATAATAGTTAATAATACATATTCAAAAAAATAAATTTTTAAATGATAATTTTATGTATCCCGTAAATAAAAATATAGGCACCCACACCTGAAACTTCCTGATCTGACAGATTTATTACTGTGTCGATTGCGATTCTACTATACAATTAAACGGAAGATACACAAAAATTGTTTTTAGTTGTTTTATCTAAAAGTATACAATTTGTAAAGGTTTTTTTTTTAAGAAAACAAGTTTTATACAAAAAGCAGGTAAATCAAATATACCTAATAAAATAAATTTAAAAGCAAAAAAGTTTTGAGGATTTTCTAATATAAAATTGTATTTATGTGCATGTCACTGGGAAAGTTGCGATGTTATGTGTCTTGAAAATATTAAGAGCTTTAAATTTACAACGACATTCTTAAAAAAAGTTACTAGATACTTTTTAAAACAAAAAGCAGCAAATTTTTATAGACAGACGAAGCGCAATCCGTAAAATACTTTAAAAATTATTTAAAACCAATAATAAATATATAAAAACAAACCTAGAACCAGCAACATTTCATAATGAAGTGATCACAAAGGAAAATGAACAAAATTTTTACTTTTTTACTGTCGCTGTATTACATAAATCTGTTTAAATAAAATACAATTTTTCGGTAGGTACCTACAAATATTATTGTCCAAAAATTTTTTAACTTACCGATCCCTTTCGGCCTGGAAAACTGAAGAAAACGTCAGGTCCAGACCTCTGAGGCATTTGTCGCAGGACGTTCAACAGTTTGGCAGAATGACGTGGCTGAAATTAAAAAAAATATTTATAATAATATTTCGTATAATTTGATACTAGAATCTATACATAGACTAGACGTTGCACACTGCATTAGGCAGTGGCTTGATTTCGTGCTTAGTTGTAACATTTTAAAAATGTTATTTTGAATGTGGGACATCCTGTATAAAAATAGTATTAGATTAATTTAAAATTTAATTATCACCGCACGCAATATTCCTAAGAAAGGGAAATTTCGTAAAGTGGGAATTTTGTTGGTAATTGATGCTCATATTGTTTCTTGAAATTTCATTTTCCGATCATATTTTGAACCAACTAGCAGTGTAGTGACTTTAAAAACAGCGATGAGTTAAAAATGTCATTAAAAGATATCTCAGTAGAAATTATATTTTTACTTCTTGTTATTGATAGGTTTATTTTTTTGAAAGTCAATTTAAATTTATTAAATGTGCTTCTGTAATTCTTTTTGGTTACTGGAATTGTACATTATTTATATTAATTAGTTTTGTATTGTTATTTTGATTTAATTTTAAAAAGTTATTTTATATATTATACAAGAGCCTCGTGAAAAACAGAATTCATTTTTTGTTAGGAAGCGAATGTAAGCACTTTTTTTTTGTGTTCCTTCCTAACTACCTAAGTTCACTGCTATTTCTACACAATTCTGACATCACAGAGCTGTTTCAATTTAAGCAGAATTAATATTGGTGTTTGGGGCTTGAGGAGCTACCGATGCTACTGATGAAGGCGATGTTACAGTGATTGACAAAGATGGTGTCTTCAAATACATAGCGGTAACTAAAAATTCACGAGGCTAAAATATGTTCCTTATCGTACGATGAGATTTAAAATTTGAGGGTGTCAGCATAGTAAAATCCGATTTGTTACGTAATCATTGCATTTATTTAAATAAACAAATTCATTCTTATTTTTTTTAAGGTTACAATAGTTTTCTTTTATTTAAATTATATATAAGTTTGAATTAATCTTCTATTGATAAAACTAGAGTTTATAATTCTTACTACCTTTTTAAATAATAATAATAATAATAATAATAATAATACTCTCGCAATAAAAAGAGAACTATTGGCGCCACTCTCTTTCCTGAAAATTGTTTCCCCAAAAGTGTCTATTAGAATAGCCGAATTCACGACGGAGAAAACCATATGTTTAATGTGCTTATTTCTTTTTTTTTATATTAGATTAAAGGTAAGTAATATTTGGTGTTAAATATCTAAGAGTTAGTCAAAATTTCTTATGTTTTCAAAATTAACATTTTATTGCAAAGTAACGCCGTATTATTATTACAAGTCATAGAAACAATTACTAGTAGTAACTTTAACACAACAAGAGACACTTCAGTTTATATGTCTTATATCCACTCATGTGTATCTTGGTGGTTAATGATCTCTTATAGGTGTTAGAAAGAGAAAACCTATGTGCGCATCAGAGTTGGGTCGGATACAGGAAAAAAGTATCCGAGTACCGGATACGGATACTTACAATGTATCCGGATACTTTTTTCGGATACTTTTAAGGATACTTTTACGGATACTTTTAAAGTGAGTTAAAATAATGTTTTCATACCAATAGTTATAATTATGTAATAAGATTGATTACGAGTAACAATAAACAATACTAGGCATAAATAAATTATCGAAAATGGAAAGCGATATAATAGAAACGGGAAAAAACTACTCAATAAGTTGTTTATTATTTTTATTCTGTGAATATAAAACATTAAAACAAGAAGAACAATAAAACATAAAGCCATCCAGTGTCGTGTCCATATAAATCTAACCAGGGGCCGTTTCTCCCTTGGTTCATTTGTGCAGTGAACACCCATTTAAATTTCATAAGAGCACATTATTTTAAAATCACATAATAATATACTCGTAAATGCACTTTAATATATTTATTATTTTCGTACGTATTAATCTCTACTTTTTTTGGTATCCCACTACGCTAAGGCTCATCGCGTCTGTTGGTTCAATATGTTGATTGAACGCGAGAGGTGTCTGGGAATAAATGTTAAAAAGACAGGTTAATAGTTCCGTCAAATAGCAATGTGCCTGCTTGAAACCACGCTATTTTTAGCATCGTTTTGTGCATCGCACGTAGATTACGTCACAACAGTTAACTTCGCTTGGTCCAACGATTAGTTGTTGTTGTGCTTCGTCAAGGTCACTCTGACTGGGCGTCTTTAATTCAACGTTGCCACATTTGGTAGATATCTGGTTTTTTGGTAGGTTTTCAGCTAGTTTGGCTAGTTTTACTAGGCAATTTTCTTTTGGTAGATTTCAATAGATTTCTATAAATTAATGAAAAAAAATCCAATTAGTCAAATAAAACTTCTTACTTAAATAATTTTATTGCCAAAATAGATTGCTAAAAACGTTAAGGCCGGCGATCATCAAAATAAATAATCAGTTATTTTCGTCTAGTAGATAACTTAAAAATAATCGATTCTTTACGATTTATCGACTATTTTCGATTAATTGATTATTTCGAATTAACGGATTATTTTCAATTAATCGATTCTTTTCGATTAATCGATTCTATTCGATTAATTGATTATTTTCAATTCTTTTCGATTCTTTTCGGTTGTTTTCGATTCTTTTCCATTCTTCTCGATTTTTTTTCGATTCTTTTCGATTATTTTCGACTATTTCGATTTTTCGATTTTTTCGATTCTTTTCGATTCTTTTCGATTCTTTTCGATTCTTTTCGATTCTTTTCGATTCTTTTCGATTCTTTTCCGATTCTTTTCCGATTCTTTTCGATTCTTTTCGATTCTTTTCGATTCTTTTCGATTCTTTTCGATTCTTTTCGATTCTTTTCGATTCTTTTCGATTCTTTTCGATTCTTTTCGATTCTTTTCGATTCTTTTCGATTCTTTTCGATTCTTTTCGATTCTTTTCGATTCTTTTCGATTCTTTTCGATTCTTTTCGATTCTTTTCGATTCTTTTCGATTCTTTTTGATTCTTTTCGATTCTTTTCGATTCTTTTCGATTCTTTTCGATTCTTTTCGATTCTTTTCGATTCTTTTCGATTCTTTTCGATTCTTTTCGATTCTTTTCGATTCTTTTCGATTCTTTTCGATTCTTTTCGATTCTTTTCGATTCTTTTCGATTCTTTTCGATTCTTTTCGATTCTTTTCGATTCTTTTCGATTCTTTTCGATTCTTTTCGATTCTTTTCGATTCTTTTCGATTCTTTTCGATTCTTTTCGATTCTTTTCGATTCTTTTCGATTCTTTTCGATTCTTTTCGATTCTTTTCGATTCTTTTCGATTCTTTTCGATTCTTTTCGATTCTTTTCGATTCTTTTCGATTCTTTTCGATTCTTTTCGATTCTTTTCGATTCTTTTCGATTCTTTTCGATTCTTTTCTATTCTTTTCGATTCTTTTCGATTCTTTTCGATTCTTTTCGATTCTTTTCGATTCTTTTCGATTCTTTTCGATTCTTTTCGATTCTTTTCGATTCTTTTCGATTCTTTTCGATTCTTTTCGATTCTTTTCGATTCTTTTCGATTCTTTTCGATTCTTTTCGATTCTTTTCGATTCTTTTCGATTCTTTTCGATTCTTTTCGATTCTTTTCGATTCTTTTCGATTCTTCTCGATTCTTTTCAATTTTTTTGGATTCTTTTCGATTTTTAAGATAGTAAAAAGGCTGTATAGGGTAGAACTACTAAATAAGAAATGGTTGCAAAGGCAATATTCTTATTTGAGAATCATACAAATATTTTGGGTCATTAAACCACTTTTTAGACTTTTGGTTCCGATTTTATCTGTTTCAAAAAGTGACCAGTTTCGCCAGCTTACATTTTTTTGATTATCAACCCTTTCGACGACACAAAAAACTGCTTGTAATATTATTTTAGATTCAGAAGAAAAAAACGTGTTGAAGCTATATCACGAATTTCATTGAAAATCGTAAATATCCGGTCACATTGCCAAAATCCCTACACCGGAAGTAGCAAAACCGAACGCCATAAAATGCTTGGATAGCGATTTTTTGTTGTTATAGACGTCTAGAAGCACATAATTCATTGCCAACAAAAAACTAAAAATCCATCGACAAGCAATTTTACTTGAAATAATAAAAATGCAGAGGTATAAGATTGTAAAGTCTAGAGCTATCGCTACCTAGTTTAGATTTTCTTAAGTATTTATAATTGTTTATTTTGATTCATTATTATTATATTATTTTTCTTATAAAATGTTCTTCCAAACTTTTATTTAAATCGCTTCAGAAATATAAATAAAATATTACGGCAGGGGCAGGGCACATATTCCTTAAAAGCAAAACTTTCGAATAGCTCTCCTACAAAAAATTGATTTTAGCTCTTACGATTATAGTAAATAATGTATCCGAATGCCGAAAAAAGTATCCGGAATCCGGATACTTACAAATTTGGTCACGGATACGGATACCGGATACAAAATTTAAAAAGTATCTGGATACAGCTTTCGGATACACATAAAGTATCCGGATACTGTATCCGGATACAAAAGTATCCGGATGCTACCCAACTCTGGTGCGCATGCATTTGCAACCGATTGTAAGGGTTTATCTCTAACCCTTGAGAAAATGCGCTTACAAATAGCGCCTACACGGTCAGTTACTAGGGCGTCAGATTATTTGAAGTGGTGCACTCCACTAACTCGTGAGATTGCGTCAAAAGTACTAGGGCAGCTTCAGATGAAAAAGAAAAATTCTAGAGGCCACGTTGATTTAAAACTGAGGGTATAAACAATGGGCTTCAATCGTTATTTGTGCCAAAGCAAAACATTTTCAGAGGCTATCAAAAATAGGGACACGGTTTAATAACCGTAATAGTATGCCAATTGTTTCAATTTAATAAGTATATTACTTACGAAAGCTAAGATTATATAAGATTTAATTAGGACTGTGGACCATGCGGCCTCTCCCTCCTCGACCTTTTCAGATATATTGTGAATATCATTTAGTAATTGTTTAGAGTACCTTGTCTAATTCGGTATTT